TATTTTATTTTTTTAATTTTTATTTCAGAGAGAGAGAGAGAGTGTGAGCAGGGGAGGGTCAGAGAGAGAGGAAGATACAGAATCTGAAACAGGCTCCAGGCTCTGAGCTGTCAGCACAGAACCCGATGCAGGGCTCAAACCCACAAACCGTGAGATCATGACCTGAGCCAAAGTCGGATGCTTAACTGACTGAGCCACCCAGGCCCCCCGAATGTGTTGAAATTCTTACGCTTACAATGCAGGAGACACAGAGCTCTGCCTGAGGTTTTACCTCTATCTTTTTATTGACTGTGTTTTCCCCTTTGTTTCTACATACTAAATAACATTTTTACATACTAAATGCATACTAATTACGTATATGTAAATGTCAGTGCAGCATGAACCCATGTAATAAAAACGCACGTGTGAACCCAGGCTTTCAACAGAGCATCAGGATGTCTGAGGGTTCAGTGCTCCTTTCTGTCTAGCCCACCCACTGCCCATCAGCATCTCCTAGTCCCCATTGGATTTACTCTGGGTGGTGCCTTCTGTCAGTTTTCCATTTGGTAGTTTCTTTTTCTTTGTTACCATTTTGCAGGGGTTCTTAGAATATTCTGGCTGTTGGCAGTATTGTATCTTCTCCCAGCCTGTGGCTTCCCTCTTCCCTTTCTTTGTAAGGCGTCTTTGATGAACACAAGTTCTCAATTGAAACATAGTTGGCTTTAGCAGTCTTACAGTTTGTATTTAGTATTTTTTCAGTCCTATTTAAGAAATTCCTGCCCCTCTCCCCCACCTACCACACTGACCCAGTCCCAAGGTCATAAGGCAATTCTGTATGGTCTGCTAAAACTTTGCATTGCATCTGTAGCCCACCTGGGGCTGACTCGAGTCTGTGGCACGTGCGGTTTAGAGGACTGAGAGCTGCCTTCCTCTTGGATAAACTGCTGTCTCAGGCCTGCCCGCTGACTGGTCCCTACTCGCCCCCAGCTGGAGAAGCTGCTGCTGTCATGTGTCACACTTTCCAATCTGTGAGCATCTATTTCTGAGCTGTCCTGAGCCCCAGATGCTGCTTCTCCTCCTTTGCTTTAAGGACTAGCCTAGGACACATGCAGGTGTTTTTTTGTAGCAGTAGCAGTGGCGTGGTTGGTAGAATGGAGAGGGGGAAGCATTCTACCAGTGATACGAGCACATCAGGGAGATACTCTGTAGCTGATGAAGATGGATTCACTAATATGGACGGGTGTTGACAATATATCACTGACAGAAAAAATACTAAGTTACAGTGTATGCACTATGATTCCACGTTTATACAAAGTTAAGAAACATGCAGGGTAAAAAAAAAAACAAAAACCAAAAAAACCCAACAACCCACTCCCAGTTCTGCTTCCTTCCATCCTGGTCACATTCGGGGCCCTGTACTCTGGCTTCTCCCTGGCAGGTCCTCCTCCAGCCCCTCGCAGTTGGCATCGTCAGTGTGGCCTCCTGGGTGCTTTCTCCTTGCTCCTGGCCTTGTGCCCACTTTCTTCTATCCTGTTTGGGTTCCCACGTCCTCTCTGCACCCGCGCCAGGGTCCCGGGATTGCCGGTTCCCTGTGCCTGCTCTCCTGTCTCTCCATACGGGCCCTCACCGAGGCACCTCCCTGTTAAACCTTCTCTCACACCCTGGCCTCGTCTCCGCAGCCATCTCTCCTCCGCTCAGCTGTCCCTGGCATCATCGAGGCCCTTGCGGGCATGCCTCACATGAAGCCCCATCCCCACCCCCCCACCCTCCCCCATGAGACCCGCGTCCTCCTTGGCCCTGTCTGTGGCCGTCTTCTTCCTGTCTCCCTCCCAGATGCTCAGTGTTGCCGGTTGCCCTCTTACAAGAGTTTCTGGAGTGTTCTGCATGCCTCCAGATTTCCCTCCCCCTTTCCTCCACACTTGTGGCCAGAGCCTTCTTTCCAAAGTGTACATGAGGGCCGGAGACCGGAGGCCTGACAGCGATCTGAGAGCGGGTTTGAGCAGGGCTTACGGGGGCTGCCCACTGGTTTGAAGCCTCTTCAGGGGCCTTTCCAGAGCTGCCTTCCTCAGTCCTTTGTTCCTGAGCAGGACGGCCGGAGACGTGAGCTTCCCCAGCAGCAGGTGCCCTGGGAGTGTTGCCCGTGGGCCAGGAGGCGTCTGTGTGCTCGTGGTGAGTGGCCGTGGCACCCAGGCTCAAGACTGCCCGTTTCATCCCTGGGGTCCAGCCTGCGGAGTCCTCCCTCCCTGTTTAGGGGCCACGGGGTTTGCTTTCGTACTCTACCTGATTATCGGTAGCCTGAGTGTGTTTCAAATCTGTCCTCCTTGTTCCTGATGGTAATGAAGGTGTGCTGGATGGCTTGGAGGACAGAGCGGGCCCTTTTGTTCGTGCACAGAACCTGACAAAACGGTTCCAGGAGCCTGGCCATGCAGCATGGCCTCAGTGAGCTGTGCTGGAGCCTGGGTTTTTGACTCCCGGTTCTCTGCTCTGTTGGGCATGAGGAGGAGCCCCGCCAGCTGAGCAGCGTTTCCTGTGGGCGCCACTTACAAGCTGCCAAGTGCAAAACACAGCAGAGTATTCAGGGTGTTATTTTCTTGACCACTTTTAGTTCATTGCTTTTGACTGAGTGTTTAAAAATATTCTGCAGCATATCTGTAGTAGTCTCGAGCAGCGAATCAGGAGAAGAGACGCAGTTTCTGAGAAAGCTTCAAAGAAATACTGGTCTTTATCTTTTCCCCAGCCTTTTCCGCTGAAACCCACCAGAGTCTTTTTCTGAGAGCTCTTGTTCTATAAATAGAATAGCGGCCCTCCTCGGGTAGCCCAAGATCGCAGCTCTCATCCGCTTTCTGAAAGATTTGTGTGTGTGTGGTGGACTGGATTGTGTTTTAATTTTGCTTTTCTTTTTATGTGTGAGATGTGTGGTGGGAGATGCAAGAAAAAATACTCCAGCGTTTGTCCTCTACAGATAACTTATTATAACTTTTCTGGGTTGGGCCTTGTTGGTTTTGTCGTCTTTTTTTTTTTTTTTTTTTAATTTGCATTTAGGGAAGAGATGGAAGTGATGACTTCCCCTGCAGAGGTAAGGAAGACGCGTGGGGGCGAGGAGAGGTGCCCTCATCTGTGAGCAAGTCCTGTGAGGTCAAGGAGGAGAGGCTGCCCTGGAGCACAGCGCAGGGCTCTGAAGGGCACGTTGAGATGAGCATCCCTGGCTACGTGGGGCTGAAAACAATGTGTGGAAACAAGCTGGTAGTGCTTCCGCGCCACCGACTGGGTTCTACCTGCAGCCGCCGGGTTCAGAGGTGGGGCTTTCTCTCCACCTGGGATCAGCCTCTGGGTGGGCACAAGCTCCCGCACTCCAGAAAAGCCAGCGCCGTCCTGTAGCCAAGGATGGCGGTTCACGTCTGTGCCTGTAGTCTGTAGTCTGTTCCTATGATCGCTGGGTGATGCTGTGTTCCCCTCTCTCCTGCCGGCACTCTTCAATTACCTGGGCGAGCGGATGGGTGAAGAGGTAAAGGTGAAGTTTATGCGACAGAATGAGGAGGGAGGGAGGTCCTCAGTGGTTTTTCTCCCGGGAGGAGGTTGCCGTTCGTCCCGCCACAGACCCCGTTGTACCTGGCACATGGCCCTGAGCTGGCATGTGCGGCTCCCCTTGCCCGGGAGGCCCACGGAGAGGGTGCCCTGTGGCGGGGTAAGGAGAGAAGCAGCAGCCTGCATTCCCAGGGCCCCCCGGGCTGCTCAGGTCGGGGTCCTGGTACATGACCGGACCCGGTGTTCGTGGTGTGTGTGGGGTGGGGGGCTTTCTTTGGCATTCTTCTCAGGGTGGGGTGGCGTCACCGCATCCCGAGCTCCCCCTCCTTTGTTTGGGGTTGGCTGCTGTTGGGACTGGACAGTGCTGGTGGTCCGCTCTTGCCTTCTGATGTGTTTGGGTTCCGTGAGGTTTCTGGCTCTGGTTTTGTCTTATGTCGTCTTTAGTGGCCACAGGTACCCAAGTGCTTCAGACAGACACTCTCTTAAAGCAGTTACTCAGAGCGCAAAGCAATGTGGGATTAGGTAATTCAACCCAGACCTCTGAACCTGTATTTGTGTGCTTGAGTGGAGTTTGTGCGTTCTGTCTGACTCCACGGTGGGACTGCACGGAGAATGGCCGTTTCTGTCAGCTGGGGCAACGGTGTGCACATGCCGAGAGCCAGGCTCCTGTTTCATGCACGTTGTTTATTCATTTTGACTGTTGGTGGCTCCCAGTGGATCAGATGTGTAATGATCAAGTGGTTCCTGGAGCATTTAACTTCTCAGTGGTCTGCAGGGCTCCTTTGTCCTGTTAGATAGCACAGGGGACAGCACAAGAGGGAAACAGGTCCAGGAGAAGCCATGGCCCATTCTTGGCTTTAATTGAGCCGAGGTGAGGGGACTGCTGTCCACCTCGAGTGTTAAGGGACCTCCAGTTCCGTGGTGGACGGGATGAGAGGAGTTTTACTGACTTCGGTCGTGGCACTTCTCTCTGCACTGTGGGCAGGGACACATGCCTAGCTTGTGAATGGGGTGAGGGTTGAGTGGGGTGCAGGCGTGGAGCTGCGCTCAACCCCACAGCAACCTACATCGACAGCTTTGGCAACAGGATCCTGAGAAATGGCAGGAGGCCAGAGAACACAGAGACGGGGCCAAGAATAGCTGAAAAATACCAAATGCTGAAGTTGGAGAATGCTCTGGCCCCTTGCTGCCTACTATTGGCATGCGAGCCTTCATGTCCCCTGCTGCCGATCCCCTTGGGCATAGCCAGGCACACCTTGGGCCCCAGACGGCCTCACTGCTCAGGCACGCCGGTGTCCCTCAGAGAATCGTGCAGCATGCCCTCCCCCCACTCCCTGGCAGCGTGCTCGACCTGTCCATAGGTCAGGGTCTGGGGAGAGGGGGAGAATGCTTCATTCACTTAAGGCCACTGGCCCGTTAGGGACGTGCACACACCGGTCCATCCTCCCAAGGGCACCATGCAGACGCTTGCTCATGAATCGTTTCTGTGCTTCCAGACTGTCATCAAAGAGGGGATGCTGACCAAACAGAACAATTCATTCCAACGATCAAAAAGGAGATACTTCAAGCTGCGGGGGCGGACGCTGTACTATGCAAAAACGGCAAAGGTGAGGTGCAGGGGAGGAGCCCCTGGGGAGAGGTTTCCTCTGGGGTCCACATCTTGGGAGAAACCTTCACTTCTTACATCTGCTATTTCCAGCAAGTTTGGTAATACTCTAGCTTTAATTTGTCTCAGGCCATGCTCTATTTCTTATAAATGCTGACTTTTTACTCATTTTTCTCTTTCCTTAATGTCATGTCACCAACAAGGAAAAGGGGAAATGTCACAGAGGTAATCAAATTACAGTTAGAGATCTTTCTTCCGGAAGAATTGGGGGGGGGGTGGTGTCACAGGCTTAGAAATCTTTTATTATGGACTAAAATATCCTTTTTTAAAAAGTGCTTTAGTGAGGTATAGTTGGCAAGCAAAAAGCTATAGATATTTAATGTAATCAACTTAGTGTGGAGCTAGGTAGTCGATACCTGTGAAACTAATTGAAAGTTTCTGAAGTACGTTGGGCTTCTTGGTATGTGAACAGAAGTGGGATGTGTCCCTAGGCTTCTGGCTGTGGTCCTTCTTCCCACGTGCAATCTTGTGTGTGAGCTTTTCCGTGATGGCCACCAGGCTCTAGTGGAAGACAAGGAGTCAGTCAAAGCCACTAAATTACTGCTGTGTTTACATAATGCAATAAATGCAAAGCTAGTTTTTGGTATTCTGAATACCAGTATTTGTATTGTTGTCACTACTTATATTTTGGTATGAAGATGTAAATGATTCAGATTGCAGATTTGTGTTTGAGATGTATCCCTAGACAGTACATTAAAATTTGAAATTGAACAGAACAACTTGTTTAGAGAGGGTTCTGACCACATCCCTCATTTAAAAAAAAAAAAGAAAGAAAACATCGTTATTTTAGTTTTGTGTGTATATGGGGTGGGGGAAGGAGGTTAACTTAAAAGGCTGAGTCTTTCTAAGTCATCAGCATTTCCTCCAGGGTTCCGCGTGGAGTCCTCTTAGAGGGGACAGTAAGGTAAACGGGAGGTGTGGACTGTGATGAGGGGATTTGGGGGTGAGTGAGGAGGGGAATGGGCTGGGGGGGAGGTTCCTAAGGCCTAATTCCCCCATCCTCCTCCTGGAGCCTGGCAGTCTCTCTCTCCACTACTAGATTTCTTCTGCTTCCTTGTCTTTTTTTTTTTTTTTTCCTATGGCCAGATCCCTTCTATTTGGGTTGGTCTCTCTTCCTAGAATCATCTATTTTAGCCAGGACCTTTCCCCCTAAGTGTGCTGGCTGGACAAACTAAAACCGGAAGGGCGGGGGATCCTGGGTCTGGAACCCTGTTTCCTCAGGTGGACTCCATGGGAAGGCATATTTCACTTATAAAAGTGAAATGCCGAGGACAGAAATTAAATACAGAAATCACAGCGTCTCGTTTTGTTTCCACGAATGCCATCACTAATGAACTCCTGGGTTAACACCTGGGGCTCCGCCTGTGAGCTCCGTGCTCTGTGCGTGGTCAGTGCACCTTTAGTCCTCAAGTGCCCAAGATTCCAAGTACTTGGGCATCGGTGGGTGTTTGACCCGGGGTTGGAGCTGGGGCAGTGCGGGGCTGGGTACCTTGGCCGTGTGCTGACTGTGGTGCCTGTGTCCCTCCAGTCCATCATATTTGACGAGGTGGACCTGACAGACGCCAGCGTGGCTGAATCCAGCACCAAGAACGTCAACAACAGTTTCACGGTAAGCCTCCAGACCACACCTTTATCGGTTCTTCACCACGTGTGGCTTTTCTTTTTAATTTGACAAGTATGCGTGAGCAGTGCAGACCTTTTCATTCTTTTCTCTGGTTGGAATGCTTCTTGTTATATTCTGAATTTAATGTTGAAAATAATACTGTGGTTGGAGAAAAACTGGGAATTTGGCACATGTAAGCTCAGAAGAACAAGAAGGTCCAAGAGAACTGTTTTTAACATGTTGTTACGTTTCTCTTAAGTTTTGCACAGAGCTTTGTTTTTTATAATTACTGTAGAAAATTTGGAAAACCTGGGAAAATATGTTGAAGCACTTAACCATAATTCAGCTACCTCAAAACGTATACTGTGGATATTTTGGTGTGTTTCTTTTCTTCTTTACTTTTAAACTGTGTCTGTCCAGGCCCACCCCCCCCTTTACAGCAGTTGCAGTGTACTTTTTGCAGCAGTTTTAAGTGGATAAAATCATGTAACCTCACTGCCCAGAGGAAGCCAGCTGCTCACTCTAGAGTGTTTATTTCTAAATACATGTGCCTTCACCCACATACACCATGAGATTATTATGCTCCTTTTGTTTTACACCTGTTTTTTTCCCCCTCTGGAGAATTTTTGGTGGACATTATTCCATGTTGATTGATCTAAATCTTCCTCATATTTTTAACGACTGTATAGATACAGCATTTCTGGTGTGACTGCAATTTTGGTTTCGGGGGCCGACTTTAGAATCTGTCCGTATAAAGTGTGTGACTCTAAGGGCAGGCAGTGGGGCATGTTTCTGTTGTAAAGCCAGCCCATCGAGAAGTACAGGTGCTTCCTTTCAGTTCTTTTATAACGCCGTCAAAGTGGGTAATTTTCTTTACGTTTAGGATCTGATGTTCTGCGTTAGTATTGGTTTCAGGGTTTTGTTTTATTTATTTATGTTCTGATTATTGACGTTGCTGATGCAAGTGGGATTTTCCTTCCTCCATTTAAACTTCTACTTATTTTCTTTTGATACATCTAACTGCTCTTGGTTCTGGCTTGTGACTTATCGAATTAGCCACTTCCCTGGTGGTCTCTCTTATTTGATTCTTCATTTTACTTGGAATGTTTTTACTTTTTCACCATCAATTTTATTGTTTACTTACTGGCTGGGGAGAGACTTTTAAAATTATGTAAGTGGATTATTCTGTGATTTGTGGCTTTTAGAGTTTTTAATAGGAAGAGGTGTTGGCTTTTATTGGGGTGTTTTCAGCATTAATTTAGTTGATCATGTTGGTTTCAGGTATTTGTACATTTCCTAATAATAAGCTGTTCTTGGTAATGTTAGGTTTTACAACCTAGTTTTGTTTAGGCTTTTCCTATCTAATGTGTATGGATGGATGTTTTCTCTGGAGTTAGGAGGTAGCCTTTGTTGTGTTTTGATCTCAGAGTTAGACTAGCCCCATAAAATTCATTTAGTAACTTTCCATAACTTTGTGTGTTCGGAACACTTTATATGGCTTTAGAGTCGACGGTTTCTTGAAAACCTGAGAGCACTTACTTTAAATTCTCTGTCAGAAGGACTCTTCAGGGAGGCACGGCTATGAAAGGGCTTGTTTTTGCTTTCTGATTATTTGAGCATTGAGTAGCATGTATTATTTGCACTTTAAACATTGGTGTCTCTGGTTATATCCCTTTTGTATTTCTAATTTTATTTGTTTAGCTTTTGTTTTTCTTATCAGATTTCTTAAACTCCATCACTGTTGTTTTTTAAGAGAACCAGTCCTTGGATTAGTGATTGGTTCCATTTTTTTCCTGGTACCTAATTGAATTTCTGCATTTAGATTCATTGTCTCTTTTCTGCTTTTCACAACTTTTAAACACAACCTACTGATTAGCTTATTCTTGTTTTCATTATGTGTGTATGTGTGTATGTATATATATGATTATATATACAATGAATTGTCTATATGATGAAAACACGAGGGACTCTGGATTGAACTCTGAGTGCCTTTCTGTTCACATTCCAAAAGTTATTTTTTCTCTCAGTAGCGAAGTGTTATTAAAGACAAAATACTAGGGGGGGATGGGCATGGAGGAGGGCACTTTGGGGATGAGCACTGAGTGTTATGTAGAAACTAATTTGACAATAAACTATTTGAAAAAAAAAAAAAGACAAAATACTTTTCTGATCATCAGGTTATTGAAGAAAATTTTCAAGTATATAAATTTAAAACCATCCATATCCCGATTACCCTAAGATACCTGGTAATATATTTTGGTTGATGTCATTCCCACAAATATATTTTATAAAATACAGCTTTTTAACCTTCTCTCTCTATAGTTAGCAGTGAGCCTTTTCTCTTGTTAGCCTCTAAAATCTTGTCTACTAATATTACACAGTATTCCATTGTATAAATGTGTCAGCTTATTTAACCAGTCCCTATATTGAATGCTACATTTTTTCCTATCATAAATAATATTGTGATATACACTGGTATACAGATCCTTTGGTGCATTTCTGATGACTTATATACATTTTTGGAAATGAGATTCCATTTGAGGTACAAAGTAGGAACTGTTAAAAGACCTTTGACAAATGGATGATACATGTCACGACTTATATGAGCCTTGAAAACGTTATGCTAAATGAAAGAAGCCAGACACAAAAGGCCACATACTTTATGATATCATTTATATGAAATGCCACAATAGAGAATAGACAAATCTGTAGAGACAGAAAGTAGATGAGTGGTGGGGGCAGGGGCCTGTGGAGGAGGGAGGAATGATTGCTGGGGGTACAGGCTTTTTTCAGAGGGTGACAGAATGTTCTAAAATCAGATACAGGTGATGGTTGCCCAACTTTGGGAGTAGGCCATAAACCACTGAGTTGTTTACTTTAAAAGGGTGAATTGTGTGGGAATTACATCTCCGTACAAATATGGAAAAGCTAGGATGGCACTGTGCGTTGGGTCCGTGTGAGTTAATATGGGGCTTTGTCAGCCCTGCTTGGAGAGCGAACCCTGATTCACACATCTGTACAGGAAAATGTGTTCAGAGTGCAAACACTGGACTTCAGATGGAGAGCCTGTCTGTGTTGGAGAAATCCCTGGGGCCACATCCCCATCAGGTAGTCATGGACAGTTCCCAGCCTTCAGGGACCAAGCCCCGGTTCCTTCACATTTATTTTTGATTTCATCAGTACTTTAAAAACTGCCTTTTTGCCTGAGGATGTACTGAGAGGGGACAAGAGAAGATTAATATTGAGGTTACCCAGAAACAGTCGCAGATAAGGAAGCTCATCACATGAGTGATCCAGGATGGCGCATGGAATATGGAGATAAATGCGGCCCAGCTCCCGCCAGTCATGCTTCCATAGGGAGTCCGGCAGTTCTGAAGCCCTGAGTGATGGAAGTATTTTCTTTGCTTAAAATTCACACTTCATGATCTTCCCCTCAGTAACCCCTGAAGTGTTTCCCGTCTGAACCCGGAACCTGGCGCTTACCATACAGCAAACAGCTGGAGTCTCTGTGCTGCTCTCTGAAGTCAGCCCTCCTGAAAGGCAGGGCCTGGCTGTGGACTTGGCCAGTGCTTGCTCCCTGAGCACGTGCACAACAAATGCATTTGTCCAGAAGCCACTACGTTTCCTGGGACATCTCATTGGGGTTTCCAGCTAGTCCAATAGTAATTTCCCAGTTCTACAGTGACTGCTGAAATTGTCTGCCTGATACAAAGAATCAGGCAGTGAAAGCTGTTGCCTTTGGAAACCTCTTGCAGCTGGAGAAGTATGAGTGCATTTACTCCACAGTCCGAAAGGCTCCATTTTTATTGTCCCCCAAATGGCCAGAGAGCTATAATGTAAAGAAATTAGGACCCATAGGACAGGAGACTTCAAGGGAGACAGGTGAGGATGTTTGGGGAGAGGGGAGATTTGAGACAGGCTGGAAGGAAGAGGTGCAACAAACAAGGCTTACATAACTAGAGAGGGGTCTGCCTGTCTTCCTGTGCTTTGAGAACAATGTGAGGCTGGGGTGAAGCTGGAGACCCAGGGATTGCCTTCAGATTCTTCATCAGTGGTGGGGTGGTGGTGGGAGCTTCCAGAAAATGGGGAGTAGAGCTGACAATGTCTTCTGCCTTCTCACCTTTAGGTTGCCCCCCACCCCCTCCACAAGGCCAAGAAACAAAGTGGCATGAAGAGAAAAAGGGAATTTGCCAGCTTTATGTCCCAGCCCCTTAATAATGTGAAATTGTATGTTTCTGATGACTCAAACGTGTTAATACTAATCTCTGAAAACTTAAAGACTTTCCATATCTCATTGCCAACTTGCCCTTAGCACAGAGCCCGATGTGGGGCTCAAACCCACAAACTGAGATCATGACTTGAGTTTAAGTGGGATGCTTAACTGACAAAGCCACCCAGGGGCCCTAAATGTTCTTTTTAAAAATCCTTTTACAAACATCGTGTCTTAACATTTTAGAATATCTTTGCCATTTTGATAGGTTAAAAATGGTACTGTGTTGGGTTGCCTGGGTGACTCAAGTCGGTTGAGCGTCCAACTGTTGATTTCAGCTCAGGTCATGATCCCAAGGTTATGGAATCGAGCCCTGCACTGGGCTCCGTGATGAGTGTGGAGCCCGCTTGAGATAGTCTCTCTGTCTCCCTCTCTCTGCTCCTCGTGTGCGTGCTCACTCGCTCGCTCTCTCTCTCAAATTAAAAAAAATGGTGATTTATTTTATTTCTTCAACTATCAAAGTGAGGTTGAACATTGGCCATTTGAATTTCTTTCTTTCTTTTAATATTTTTTAATGTTTTAGTTATTCTGAGAGAGAGAAAGAGAGAGAGCGCGCGAGAGCGAGCGAGCAGGGGAGGATCAGAGAGAGGGAGACACAGAATCTGAAGCAGGCTCCAGGTTCTGAGCTGTCAGCACAAAGCCCGATGCAGGGCTCGAACCCACAAGTCGTGAGATCATGACCTGAGCTGAAGTTGGACGCTTAACCGACTGAGCCACCCAGGCGCCCCTGAATTTC